CGGGCGGCCGATGGCCGACGGCCGACGTGGGGTCCCTCCCTCTGGCACTTCACGCGCTGTGCGCGTTTCGGTGGGCAGCTCGCCGAGGACCCTCTGCACCGGCCTCTAGTTGGCCGGCCTGCGTGACTGCAGGCTCGGAGGTCATCATCAAAGGACCACTCTCCTGCTGGGAGTCACCTCAGGGTTCCTCTTTCTGGTTTTGCGGACGCACTTTGGACGTGCAACACTGTGTTCGTTTTGGGTACACAGGTGACGATTTAATAGATGTGTGTATTTCACCGTGATAAGTTTAGTTAAATAAATTTTACTTAACTGAATTTATTCTTGGAAGAATACTTGTCTGTCTCTTCTAAAAAGAGAGGTTGTGGTGTGATACAACACAAAGAGAAATGTGAGCGTTTAGCACGTGTGTGTGCCAGGCATCATGCGACCTTTGCCTGTGCGTTACGTGTCGTTACTCCCGTCTGAAACGCGGGGAGGCAGAGCCCCAGGAGGGTGAGGGGGCCGCACGCACGCATCCTGGCCAGCTCACCATCCCAGCCGCCGGCATGCTGTCCTCCCAACCTGTGAACCCGGGCCCCGCAGAGCCGCTACGGGGCTGGCCCCCGGCCTCTGCTCCGTTTCTCAGGCGGAGTTGGAGGTCAGCTGTGGGCTCGCGCGTAGGCGGACACAACCCTGTCTCCCTGCAGTGATCCACCCCCACCGTCCCTCCGTTTCACTCAGAAGTGCCCGGCTGGGGTGACCCGTTCTACAGCTGCCAGAGCTGCAGGCGGGGAGCCTGCCGTGACGCCGGGTGGCGGGCAGCATGAGTCGCGGCTCCTGGGGTTCACTTGTCAGCCTGTCGTCGGGTGCTTTGTGGCGGGCATGCTCCAGGCACCGCAGGCCGTGGTCCCACCATCCCTGAGGACGGTGCTGTCCCCGCGGCGCACGTATGGGAGCCGAGCGCAGAGAAGTTGAGAAGCTTATTCAGGGTCACACAGCCAGTGAGAGCTGAGGCTAGAACTGGAACCAGGTTCTGACTCCAGAGCTTCCGTGTTTTGTTGCTTCCCTTTCTAATTTGTAAGCAAAAAGGTGTCCCACCTCTGCCCGTAGTGAGAATTTCTCCATTTCCGCCTCTTCAGGGAACAGAAGTTACGGCCACACGTCCTAACTCGCAGGGGAAGATGGCCCTTTGAGAGCCCCAGTGAGCCCGGGGTGGCGGGCTGGACAGGCACAGAGGTGGCGGGTGCTCGCTTCGCTCTGTGCTCCCTGGAAACTCTGAATCCCGTGTGTTCGTGTTCCTGAGCTTTTATTTTCCGGTGCAGACCTTGCCTTCCAGGACTGCATCTTAAAGTCACCATCCTTCCTATTGTCTTTCCAAAAGCAAAGGGGTTTGTGTTGACGAGGTTAGTGCTGCCTTGTGCCCATTGGCTGATCTGGGGACAGTTTTCCTGGTACCACCAGAACAGGAGCCGGAAGCTGCTTCCTTCCTGGCTAATTACGTACCTAACTTCGGTCCGGCTCGGCGGCTGTGTAGAGCCCGTAGCTCTGGTGAGGCCCCGGCACGGAGAGGCCCGCTGCCTCCAAGCTCGCATAGACGCTGCTCGGCCCTGACCACTGGCCTCTCATCCTGCTGCTGTTTTCCAGCCTGCGTGTCGTCACCTGCGGGGTCCGGCTCAGCCAGACGAAGCCGCGGCACCGGTGTCCCCCTCAGCGTCAAGACGCACTCTCCACGCCGGCTCGCACCTGCCCCAGGCGACTCGGTCGTCGGCCCCCAACCCCGAGCGTCCAGAGGCAGAGGAGATGGACAGACACGGTGTGTGGGGCGTCTGGACGCGCAGCCCAGCCCCTCGCCATGGCTGCCCTAGCTCACGCTGTGTCTTCTTTTTGGCCAGAGCGTGGTGAGGCTGAGGTGGGCGACCCGTCCTCTGACAGGCCGTCCATCCGTGAGCGGAGGCGGCTCCGGGAGCACCGGCGAGGCACGGGCATCAACTTCTGGACAACGGACGTAAGTGCACGGCCTGCACCAGGGCGCGACACAGTCCCCACGGCTCCACGAGCGTGCAGCATCGGGAATCGCGTGGGAAGGAGGTGCAGGAAGGGCTGAGCTGGTGCGGGACCCGCGTGGGGTGTCCCCACAGAGCGTCCAGGGCCTGCAGCGCGCCCGGCACAGGGCAGGCACCCGGGATCTTAGGGGCGCCCAGGACGTAACACAGGGTCTTCTGACTCAGCTTTACTCTTTTGGAGGAAGGAAAGAGGGGCTGACAGACTCGTAGGAGACACACTCCCTCCAGCTCTCAGCCGGAGGCAGGCGCCCCAGGTCCCAGCACCACAGACACCTGCCGGTCGCACCCTGCTCATGCATCTCCATCGTGGGACAAGCTGCTGGTCACCAGAGACTCTTTGAGAATTAGACGAGCCATTCAGTGAGACAAGAAATGACACTAACTGTCACCTGTTAGAAACTGTGCTCTAGGTCAAAGCATTTCACTGTTGGACAGACAGACTGCTGACAGATGAAATAAAGCCTGTTGGTCCTAAAGGTCCCCTCTTCCAGCAAGGGCTCAGGCAACACTGTGACGGCAGAGGACAGGGCCGAGCTGGCTGCCTGTGTGGCTGTCGAAGTGGCAGAGCTACGTCCTTGGCAGTCGGCATAGCACCCGCAGCCACGTGTGACTCGCCAGGGCGCTGTTGGTGGGCTGCCCTTGGCTCTGTTGGGTGACCGTGGCCCCCTTGTTTCCCTTCCTTTTTAGGAAGATGAGACCGAGGGCTCTGAGGAGGTGAAGGCAGCGTGGGTAAGTGGCGGGCCGCGTGCACTGTCTTGGTGGAGGACGAGCCGTCCTGTGCACGTTTGGGCCGAGGCGAGTTCGCAGCGAGAAGCCCTGTGGGCCGCGTGGCACCCGGACGAGGGCCTGCACTTGGCACGCTTCCTGCTGGCCTCCGGCGCCCCCGTGTGATGTCACAGGTCGTGTAAAGTACTTTGAAATCTTTGGGAGAAAGACAGTTTTCATGCAGGCAGGATTTATGGCCAGGAATGGCCCTGACGAGTGCCATCAGTTATGTGACGGGAGAGTGCAGGCGTGAGTTTCTCCGGTGGGGACACCAAGTCGTAGTGCTTAGAGGCTGGGGACTTTGCTTGGATCTGACACGGTGCGTGGCTTTGTCAAAACCTGTCCCCGCTGGTAAATTTATGAAGCAGCGAGACCGGCCGTGAGTGTGTGAGTCGCTGTCCTAGCACACCACTGACAGGTGCATTTAAAGCCATGTGGCCTGTTACCACGTGAGGCGTGTGACTCCAGAAGTCTGCATGTCCCTCATCCTGCCAAGACACGAACCCAAACCCTGGCGGGGGCGAGGGGGCGGTCATTCCAGCTGTACCTGGGAGTGTGGCGGCCTCGTGCTCGTCGTCATCGCACAGGAGCCGCACGCCGGAGGCCCGGGCACGCTGCCCGCAGTGGCCCTGGGGTCGCCCCGTCTCCTGCCGCATCTCTGGCTGGCTGGCCGTTCACTTACTGCCGTGTTTTATCTGCCCTGTTCTTGGTCCCCCCGTTTCCTCTCCGCAGAAGTTTTGTTGTGTGGCTGAGTCACATGACTGGAGGGCACAGTGGCCAGCAGAGCAGATGCTGGCTGGCCAGCAGAGGGGGCCTGAGAGGCTGGCAGGACACAGGCTGCTCCTGTCTTAGGGGCTGTTGGGGAATTCAGAGCTGACACCTGGGAGCCACGTTTTATAGTTAGGGAGGCAGTCCCGGCAAGTCGGGGAGTTTTCAGGGACCTGACAGCCTGGCCAGGTGGGCTCTCCGTGCCCTGCTCACAGGACCGTGGCAAAGCAGACCTGGAATCAGGGCTCTGTGTTTCTCTCGTGCCAGCCACTCACTGGATCTGTCCTCAATGGGGCATGTGCGACTTGGTTGCTGGCTGTGTCTCACCGCCTGGAGGGGAGGGCCGTCCTGAAGAACAGCCCCAAAGGCGCTCTGAGCACTGAGGCCGGCGGGTGCAGCCGTAGCCCAGGGAGGGCCGGGCGGTCGGGCCGAGAAGCAGGGCGGCAGACAGGCCTTGGGGTGCCTTTGCCGCTGTTCTTAGCTTGTGTGAACGAACTTGCAGCCTGCTCAGCCTGCTTATCAAAGGGTTGGGCGCCCAGGGCCCCCCAACTTCCGAAGTGAGAGTTGCTGCCTCTCTGCCACCCCCGTCTCGAGGCCTAGGGAGCCCAGGGGTCACGTGGCTTCTGTCACATCAGAGGGACTGTCCTGATTGCCTACATGTGCACATGATGCCCTAGGTTGCCGCAGGCCTTGTCCGACACAGCAGTGTGTGGTGCCCTGCGCTGTGCTGCTCAGGTCTCAGCACCGAGGTGACCCCAAGGGCTGTCGGCCGCACCGCATCCTCAGCACCCACTGGTGACGCTGCGTTCCCCGTCCCGGCCATGAGCCAGCTCTGCCGCACAGCTCCCTCTGCCCGTTTCCTCGGCCGTCGAGCGGGGCGAGTGTCCGGCTGCCCTCGAGAGCACCCACCAAGCTGCTCTCAGATCTGCAGGCTCCCGGCTCTGGCCAAGGCCGAGGCCGAGGTGCTCGGGAGGCTCACGTTGACCCAGGAACTGTGCAACTTGGTGCCACTGTTCACTTACCACAGAGCCGCGGTTATTTGGCGACTCAGAGAACAGGCCCGGCCCCTCCGGCGTGTCTGTCCCGAAAACGTGCCCATGGTTCTGAGGAGCAGCTTCTCAGCGGGCGGGAGGGCAGTGGGTGTCAGGGAAGAGCCGACGCCCTGCTCTGCCAGGGCCACTGACTCCCCTGCTCTCCGGGCGTCCGCGCCACACCCGGGTCACCCATTCGCTCTGGCCCTGCAGCGTCCCAGTCCTCCACGCACCTCTCCCCCAGTAAATCACAGCCCATTTCCCTGTTCGCGCTGGTTTGGGACCAGTCTTTGCACCCGACTTTGCTGGACCACCTTCTGGAGCAGCACATGTCCGTCCTGTTACTTAACCTCGAGATGTCCGCTCCCTGCTGGAGGCGCCCAGTGCTCTCTGTCCCCTCCCCCCGGGCCAGCTCGTTTCGTCCTTTTAGGTAAAATCCCAAGACTGTGTGGCCTCCCCCCACCCGCCGGGCCTGATTGCCTAATATGGTAAGGTATGTCCCAGCCGGGCTGCGCCGAGATAGGGCAGCGGCCTTCGCTGAGTTCAGGGACCGGGGAGGTGAGCTGTTACTTATGTAGTAAAATACTGGTTTTCACAGTTCTCCTTGTAACAGCCACGTTCTTTTTTAAGGCGAGCTTTTCTGCCTTTTAACAGCAGGGGATTTTCTTCCTCAGCCTCTCTCTTTAGCCAGATAAGGAGAGTGGGGTCAGCTTGTCCGGCGGGGAGGGCGGAGAAGTCTGGGGGCGGATGTGAGGACGGTGTGGCCGGGAGCTGGCGGGCAGTGCCCCCCCAGAAAGGCAGGCCGTCCGCGCTTGCAGACGATGGTGGCAGGCAGGGACAGACAAGGGACCGAGACGTGGCAGCTGCCCACATGTCAGGAGCCACCGCCCACCCAGGGCCACTGAAGGCTCTGGCGGGTGACCGCACGTTCTGCGTTGCGTGTGGTTTTTCCTGCAGGGTCTTGGGGGCTGCGCCTCTCTGTGCCCCTCCCCCCTGCGACAGGCCATCCCGGAGCAGAGGCCGCTCACTCCTTCCTTCTAAGGACTGGACTAACTTTAGGCCGCGCTGTTGCCAAGGAAACCTCAGTCCCCACCGCTCACGTCCGCTCCTGTGAGACTGCGGTCTTAGACCCGCTGCCCGTCCATCAGTGCCTCTGCCGCGGTCAGGAACCTCTCTTAGGAGGGCGGGGTGGACTTCCGCCCTACCCGCGTGGGCTTTGCTCCACCTGGTAGCCAGGTCAGCCCTGTCGCCACCAGCCTTCAGTTTCTCCCTCCGCCCCCCGCTGCCTGCAGGGTGTGTGTCGTGTTAGTGACCCGTGCGCCTTCTCGTGCTGACAGCCAGGGATGCGCCCAGCGAAACCCACACCTCGCTGCCTAGTGCTTTCCTTCTGCTTCTTCGTGTTTTATTGTTGATTTCCTGTGACCCTAGCTAAGTTTTATTTCTTTGAATTTCATTTCAGGACAGTATAGGTTGGGAGGGGACTTAGAAAATGTTTGTTTCTGCTACGAAGAATGAGAAAAAATTGTTCAAAGTCTACCACTCAGAAGAAATTACTGTTTAGCATTCTGGTGAATTTCCTGCTGGTATTTTCCCTAAGTTGTTGTTTTTTTTCGAAACATGTTTAAGACCAACTAATGACAGTGTTGAGGAAGGAACTGTTTTCAAGCTGAGTGTGCCTGGGACCCCGTCATCACCGTCTCAGAAGGTCGTCTTCAAAGACTGGGCTCGGTTTGACCCTGTGATCAGAGCAGTCGTGTGATGGCCGTGCCCGGGGCCTCCAGGGGTGGCCGCTCCCTTCCGGCTGCCGGCTCCGGGCTGCCTGGGCCACGGAGGTGGCCACGTCTTCTGCTGCTGGCAGGGCAGGGGAGCGCGGCCGTGGCACAGGCTCAGCTGGTGCTGGGCTCGGCCCCGGCCCCACGATCGAGGGGCCAGTGTGGGATTCGCAGCCCCCTCGGCAGACGGGCTGTCCGCCATCCGCCCGGCACAGGTGTGAGCACCAGGCCCTGGCGGGCGCTGCCGTCACAGCGGTGTTTTCGTGGGACCCGGGAGGTGGGGCGTCTGCGTGGGAATGCGGAGGTGGCGGTCACAGGCTCCGTGCCATCTTGGTCGCAGTCACACACGTTCCAGACCGGACAGCGACCACTTGGTGACATGAGTCCCTTTCACAGAGAAATTACAGCTTCACATTCAATGCGACCCTTGGAGGCTGACGCGTTCACACGGACGTGCCCAGCACAGTGGAGCTGTCAAACGTGCCGCCCTCGCGTTCGTGCGGGAAGCTCCGCTCTCTGACAGCTGTACCCTAGACCTTAAGCTCCGCCACATGCTGACTGCCGAAGGGAAGGGGGGCGTCGACAGCCCACCAGCTCTGCGTGAGGTGTGGAGGCTCCGGCTCTGCTTACATTTCTGGTGATTCAGGATTCTTAGGAAGACAACGTCTGAACATCACCCACCAAATACAGCACGTCACGGTGGCGCGCTGAGGCACTGGGTTCTTTTGAAAGGGAAACGCCACATGGGGGGTCACGGGGCTGTTTACAGTGACAGTGCCAAGGTTCTGCCTTCTCCAGCGTCTGGTGCAGCTCCTTGTGGCCATCGGGAAGGGCTGCCTGTCCGAAGCCACAGGAGGGCGAGTGTTCGTACCTGTCTCTCTGCGGTGTGTGCTGGGGTCTCGAGCACAAAGCACCAGACTGTCGAGGTCACAGAAAATTATTTCTGGAAAGTTCCTTAGACATTATTCTAGCCCAGCTCCCTTACTTTACAGTTGAAAAAACCTGCGTCGAAACGGGGGGCCTGGCTGAACCCAGGCTGAACAGTGGCTGCGGGGCGAGGCGTGCGGGGTGCTGGCTGTCGTCCAGTGGCAGGAGCCTCATGGTTCCGGCCCCAGCGTGCTCCCCGGCGTGGGCACCCCCGCCCCTTTGCCCAGTTGGACCCCGTTTACGGGCATCACTGGTAACGCAGGTCCACAGCACAGCCCGTTGCCCACGTCGGAGAGGGGCAGGCCGGGGTTCCTGAGAGCCCAGAGGGAGCTGTCGCTGCGGGGCAGACCCACCGGCTCAGGCAGCACGTGGCCAGAGTGCTGGGGGCGGTAGTGGTGACAGCAGAGGGCGAGGGCCACGCTGGCGAGGCTCCCAGGCCACACCCAAAGCCCCTCAGCACCAAGCGGTGGGTCCCTTTTCTCAACTCTGAACTGCCCCGCGGGGACGTGGTCCTGCGGCCGCCGTCCCCATGCACTGTTCCCTCTTCGTTCCGGACCCCTCTCCCGCCCATGCCCGTCTGGCCTCCTGGTGGTGGTGTTTCGGGGTGCGGGCCTCTGACGCACGCAGCACCCCCTCTGCGGGGACCCAAGCTTCAGCCTGCTGGTCCTCGCCATGCAGTAGTGGTGACGCAGCACGGGGGCCTGGAGGGGCTGCGTGACTTAGACGCTGGCAGCTGCAAAGGCCCCGTCCTCACGGCTGGGGACGTCCCCAGAGGGCCCCGCGCTGGGGCCGCCGCCTGCTTCGCCGCGGCTTCTGCCCAGGGCCTCCGTGCCCAGGAGCCGGCCGCGGCTTTTCCTCCTGTAAGTGGCCTGCAAGTGGCAGCCCGACTCGTGAGCTGAAAGTGAGTCTCTGCCCTTGGCCGCGCTCCAGCATTCCGCGGAGCGAATCGGGTTTGGAATGTCAGCGGGAGGGAGGGGAAGACGTGCGTGGGCCCTGGCTCGGGCGGCCTCTGCGGGGGAGGCTGGGCAGACCGGCGGCCTCGGCCGCGTCCTCTCCCAGACCTCGCTCCTCGCCCGTGTGTTCCTGTTTCTGCGTTGCTCAGCCGGACTTGTCACGGCCGCTGCGAAGCCGTCCAGCTCCGCGAACTCGGCGTGGTTCCCGGGGACCAACGTCTCTTCCCCCCATAAGGACCCCCTTCCCAGCTCGTCTGCGCAGCAGCCCCGACCACCCTCCCTGGACTCAGGCCTCGGCGGGGCACAAGCCTCAACAGAAGTGTCCTTAGGGAGAGGCGAGGACCCCCTGCAGGCACGCGGGGTGGCAGCTGGCTGCGGACCGGCCCCAAGCCCAGACTGAGCCCGCCGCTGTTGCTGCCGGGGCGCTGCGGGAGGGCGGCCAGGAGGCCCGAGCTGCAGAGGCCCAACGGGGTCCTCCGCGGAGGCACCATGTCCTCCCTGTACACCCGGAGCAAGGAGTTCCCACGGAGCCGGAGGGCCCAGCCCGAGTCCCCGCCAGCATCTCCCTCCCCAACCGCCAAGGCGCTCCGGGTAAGCAGGGCTCCCCTGGGCACGTGCTCCCCGTGTCACGGGTGGGGGCGCAGCCGGCCCTGAGCACGTGGGGGGGCAGTGGGGGCGGCAGGCAGAGGCCCGTTGGCGTCTCCACCGCAGGTCACGGCGGGCGACACCTCGCAGTCGTGGGTGAGAGTGGACAGCCGCGTCCGGTGGCAGCGAGGTTTCGGCGTCCTCGTCACGCTGTCTCACAGGGCCAGTGTCTGGCTATGCGGTCGCTCCCAGTCCTGTGTGGCGTGGGTCAGTGCTTTGAGAGGAAAAGCCCCAGGGGACACGGGACTGCTGCCCAACCGCAGTTCTGTGCGGGTTCTGCTGTCCGTGCGTGCGAACGCCTTTGCCCACCTGGGTGTCCGCGAGTGACGTGAGCAAGTCGTGACTCGCGCAGTCTCACTCCTCAGTCCCTAGGAAACGTGCCTAAAGAGCCAGGGAGGCGGCCCTGCCGCCGGCCACCAGCCGTGAGGAGTGCAGTGTCCCCTGCCGAGCCGCCGCGGGTGTTTTGAGCGTGGTCTGCGTGTGCACGTGTGCTTCGGGCAGAAGCGGGTGCTGCTCCAGCAGCAGGCACGCGGGGGGCAGTTCCTCCTTGGGGGGCGAGACTCGCGGTCATCGCTTCTTACCGGGGAGCTGTACGGAGGGAACACGCAAGAAACTGAGACCACTGAGCTGCTCGGCGCTGTCTTCCTCCGGTGCGAGTCCCCGTGGACCTGAATTCAGAGCGTGGCCTGTTGGTCTGGGACGCCAGCTGGGACGTGTAGTTACAGGACACCGAGGGGCGCATACGAGCTGTTTCTCTCATAGTCCCATCTGAGGGAGGACCGAGAGGGCTCCAGCATGCGCGTCCCCAGCCCTGGGCTCCGGGAGACCTTCTCTGCCACTTAGGCTGGCGCCCGTGTTTCCTGGGGAGCCCTTTCCCTTTGTGGTCCCTGCGTCGCCTCCCTCTTCCCGCAGGAGCCCCGTTGCCCCCGGTCCGCACCGCGACCGCAGTCCCTAGGCACTGACCCTCGGGGGCACCCAGCAGCCTCCCCCTCGTCTCCGTTAGGGTCGGCACCGCCTCTCAGCCGAGCTGCCGCCCGCCGTGCCCTGCCCTGAGCTTGAGGCCACAGCAGGACAAAGCCTGGGAGCCTGGACACCAAAGTGTGGCCACGGCCCGGCCATTTCAGTGTCTGGCTATGCATCCCCGCAGCAGCCCCAGCTTGTGGTGACCAACCTCCAGGGTCGGGACGGCTCCAGACCGTGCTGGAGAGCGCGGATCTGCATGTCACTCGGGACTGAGATTGATGTCCTGAGGCTCCACAAGGCTGTTTCCTCTGCACCCCAGCCTTTGGCGAGGGGGCCCCGGAACCACGAGAGCTGCTGTGCTGGCACTCTGCTCGTGCACCTTCTGACACCCGGTTGCGACCGGCTGCTACTCACGGGCAGACGTGGGACCCGCACCCTTGCTTCGTATGCGGCATCTCTGGGGGACCGGCTAGGGACTGGTCAGTGCCCGTGCAAGCACGAGCCGCCGTGCTGACACTTGACCTCGGCCGCGCCATTCCCCTCAGGCCCCCGGAAAGTACATACTGCTCTCTAGCTTTCCATGGGGAAACCGAGGCACCCTGGAGGGCTGAAGCCCACCCAGGCTCCCTCAGCCTGGGAGCAGCAGTCAGGCCTCTGGCTCCACACCCGTGTCCCCCGTCAGCACCGGCTTTAGGCTGAGGATGTGCCAGGTTCAGACGTGGTGGGGACCCAGGAAGCAGAATTGCAGGAAAGAGGAAGACGGTGTCTGCAGACCCCGAGAGAGCTGACCGCCGTCTCAGCCGCCCACACCTGGTCCTCCAGTAGCAGTTGGCTCGGGTGGGACTGTGACCCGCAGTGCCCGAGGCTTTGTGGTGGCAGGAGCTCCGGTTTCCCCTGAAGACACAGGTGCCGGGCACGTCACCATGCTATCAGAGCGAAGGTCAAAGGCCTTGCAGCCCTCGTCCACACCCCGTGACTGGTGACGCGTGGTTTCCTGCCAGCAGCTGCAGTTAGAGAGGCGACCTCTGGGCCAGCATGCCGCCAAGGAGCACCGAGCACTGCCACCCGGAGCCACCGGGGGACGCGTGGTCTCCCCCAGCCCTGTTGGAAGGGCCGCGGTTACATGGCTCCGTGAAGGAAGAGGCCCTCCGAGGGAGCACTAGGGCAGTGGCTGCTCACGGGAGACTCTT